AAAAAAAAAAAGCCAAAAAAAAAATACTAGAAGTGGATGAAAGTGGCTTTGATAGCCATGACTCAGGCAAGTGCTGTCTGACCCACTGTTGTAACAAACCAAAAGACTGGTCCTGGCCAACAAAGGACATGCTTGTCATAATTCTCCTTGTTACACTCCTCCTTGTCCCGCCAGGCCGGGCTCTGAAACAGGCATGGGAAGTGGGTGTCATTTGTGCTGTCTGAGCACCATGACGCCATCTACAGGAAGCAGCCCCCGACAGAGCCCTCAAATCTGATTCCTTTTTGAAAAGGGGCCTTCCAACAGGTTATATTAGACTTGAGGGTCCCTCGTGTTTCAAGTGTAGAATGGAGAAAGTTTGCCTTGGCTGGGAGTGGGACCCTGACTGACTCTGAGACGCTGAGGGTCATTTGGGGGGCAATGACTGGAGGTTAGAGCAGTGGCATGAGCTATGAGTGACCCCAGATCTCCAGGAGAAGAACACAAGTCTGGCAGTTACATGTGTTTCCTTTCAAATAGTTGCCAGGTTGGTTTGACTGATGACATCACAGAATTCCAACCTCCTGATTGGAAGGCCCAAACTCTGTGGCTGCTTGGTCGTGGATGTGCATAACAGCAGCATCTTAGAGAGTTGCCCCACTTCTAACTTCTCTGGGTGGAGAAGAGATAACAAAGTTGCGTTCAGTCTGAGTACAGAATTGTGATTCTGGGGCTCAGGCTTAGGCTCTGTGGAAGGGAAGCAGTACTTTGAGAAAAATCATGAGCAGTTGTCAGCCAAGTCCCCAGTATGAGGACCCGAGTCAACAGCCAGACTGCTCAGGGTACACCCTAGAGGGGGGAGTGGACGAAGACTTTCCAGCCCCATCAAGTGAGTGGATTGCAGTGTGAAGAGGTGTGAGAGCGTTGTCTGTTAACAGGAGGCAGTGGGGAAGCTAGGAAGGAGTGTCTGCGTGTGGCACAAGTTCAAGAAAGAAAGGCATTGAGTGCAACCATTGGGAAACAAGGGCACCCGCATGAAGGTAAACCTGGGAAGTAGCAGGAGACGGGATCCAGGGAAGAGCCGAGGGAAACAAGGCGGAGAAGATGAAGGGAAGGGTTTCTTTCTTGTGCGTACAGGTTTGGGTGATGAACAGTTTAATTTTTCTCCTTTTTAAAACAACAATATTATTATTTATTTATTATGGTCATAGCTTTTTATTTTTTATTAAAAGAATCTTATTGGGGGGCTCTTACAACTCTTATAACGATCCATACATCAGTTGTATCAAGCATGTTTGTACATATGTTGCCACCATTCTTTTCTAGACATTTACTTTCTGTTGAGCCTTTGGTATCCGCTCCTCTTTTTTCCCTGCCCCCCTCACCACGTGACCCCTTCGTAAATTATAAATTATGATTATGTTCTAAACAGTTTACTTCTAAGGGACGAAAGCTTCCCATGCTCCCCTTGTCTCTTGACTCAGCCTGCTGGGTAGTGTCCGAGCACTTGCCTCAGTTTCCCAGCCTGAGGAGGAAGTGGAGAACAGCATCCAAGGAGGAACGAACCCGGGACGCTGAGGAGATCTGGGTCGTGGAGGTTCTGTGTGGACTCAAGATGAAGCTGAAGAGACAGGGAGTGTCAGTGGTGCGGCCTGAACACCACGATGTCTTTAACAGACTCCTTGGTAAGGAGAAGTCCGAAAGTAACATCCCTCTAACCCTCCTCGTTCTCCTCCTCCTCCTTCTCCCTTTTTTTTTTTTAAGAAAAAAAAATCCAATGACTATACCTTTTCAGTAGAAAAGAGGTTCCTGTTTGTTGCATGAGCACTTTATCACTGGAGGTGGCAAGCAGCCCTATAGTGACCACTCCCGAGAGACTGCTAGAAAATGATGAGGGAATGAAGTTAGACTTGAAGCAGGTCTGCCCTTGAGAGAATAAAACTTGGTTTCCATCGATTAGCTCTTAGCTACTTTTCCAAAGCTCGAAATGTCTCCTACTGTACGGGGGGTGGGGGTAGGGGTGACGAGGCCACCTTTACCCCCCCAAATAAATATCCAAGGAGAGCACAACCATGAATGATTCGATGCCACATGGAATGTACGTTCCTGGGCAGCGAGAGGGAACAAACGTGTGGAGGCTCCTCCCCTCCCTGGGAAATTCAGAACGGGGAGGTACCACCGCCTGCCAAGTAGATCTTCTTCTCTTCTCATCCCCCTCGACTTTGGCCATCGGACTGAAACTGTTCCAACCGAGGGTGGCTGGCTCTCCTTTTGGCTCTGGATTACGGTCACAGCACGGCAACACGGCTCTGGTTCTCAACCTCACTGGCGCCTTCTTTTCACAGAGGATCCTGTCATCAAAAAATTCCTGGCCTGGGACAAAAGCCTGAGAGTCTCTGACAAGGTAATATTGTCCCCTCCTAACTGTATTCCTGCCCAGACATATCCTGGGAGAGGCCTCCCAAGCCCACAGTGCTCCGTCTTTCTCCCTCCACCTGTTTCTAACCTGATACCTCACTCAGTCCTGGCCAACCCCTCTCTTTGGAGCCCTAGAAAGTACTTACCATGCGAATTGGCAGTTCCTGCCTTTGCCCAGGATTCTGGGGAATCTGAGTTCCAGGTCATAGTCTTGCCGTGGACATTGGCCCCTTTGGTTGCTTCCACCTTGAGTTCCAGGCATCCCTCCTCTCAGCTCCTGGGGATCCCCCTCTGACCCAGCCTCTCCAGGACCCTCCTGATATCCACCGCTCCGAGCACGTTCCCTCAAACGTTCCATGCTTGCCAGCCTGAGAGCATCATGGAATCCCCTTCTTCGAACATCTCTAACCTGCCCCCAACCTACGGATGCCATCTTCCTGCTCCCCAAATAGACATGCTCACCCACTAGGTTCTCTTCCTGAGCCGCGGGCTTGCCCCAGCTTCCCAGTCCCTGATCTCAAGGTTTGTCCTCTGCTGAGAAGTGACTTCTGTCTTGTGGTTCTCCTTCTGTCCCCATCAGTATCTCCTGAGCATGGTCATTGCTTACTTTAGCCGGGCTGGCCTTTTCTCCTGGCAGTACCAGCGGATCCATTTCTTTGTAGCGCTGTGAGTATTTTTGATTCGTCCCACCAATCAGTACCACCGAAATTATTATCCTCTTCAGCTTCCCCGGGTGACATCATGGAAACTAACAGAGCAAAGAAAACCCTATCCCCTCCCCACCAAGAAAACCCTAAAACAAACAAACAAACAAAAATACCTCCATGTCATCAAGTCAAGCCCCACTCCTAGCTACCCTCCAGGACAGAGTAGAACTGCCCCTGCGTGTTCCCAAGGCTGTAAACTTTGATGGGAGCCGCTGCCTCATCTTTCCCCCTCTGAGTACCTGGTGAGTTCGAAATGCTGTCCTGTGGTGAGCAGAGCAATGTCTAATCCACCAGGGCTCCTTATCTTATCTGGACCAGGATTCAAAACACGTACTTGGTGGGGCAGGCACAATGCAGACCACAAGAGCAGGAGACCTTCCTTGGTCTGCTCCTGACAAGCAACCTGACTTCTTTTCCCCAGCTACCTGGCCAACGACATGGAGGAGGACAACCAGACTCCCAAGCGAGCCATCTTTTCATTCCTCTATGGAAAGAACCGCTCCCAGCGCCCAGGGTTCCACAAGCTAAGATTTCAATTCATCAGATCCATGCACTGGAAGACCAGAGTCTCCCGGGACGAGTGTGAAGAGGCACGGCTGTGGGGCTTGGGGGAGAGTCAGGGGAAGGTGGGAGATGGACAGTGGAATGTGGGGGTTGGAAAGAATGGAGGGCTGCACAAAGAGTGGGAGGAACCTATATGGAGATCATCAATTTTCAAGGGGCGGGGATTGGGGGTGCGGCTTGCTTGTCTTTCCTGAAGAGCCCTGAAACACTAACCGAAAGGCTGGTAGTTCAGATCCTCGAGCAGTTCTGAGAGGATAGAGCTGAAATCTGCTGGATTGAGATGACAGCCTGGGACTCTCTGTGGGGGTAGTTCTTCTGTCTCATAGGAATGCTGGGAATCACCATGGACTCAATAGCAAAGGACTGAACAGGGCTTGTTTTTTCCAGATCCTAGCCTATGAGCCAGAGCACTGGGTGTGGGCACGAGACCGCACCCTTATCCCTTTGGACCCAGAGGCTTGAGAACATCGCCGAGGAGAGGTACATCTGTGTCCTGACTGCTAGAGACAGGATGACGTTTTCTCTATGTCGGGAACCTGGGGAAACTATTTATTGATCCATTTTCAACACCCCGCCCACCCATCACCTTAAATCCCACTGAGTGGACACAGCTCCTGGTCAGCCTCACAGTCTTGGGTTGACAATGAGCCACGATGGACACTCGGCATGCATGCCCACTAGACTGTGAGAAAGTCAGTCCATCATTCAAACATGGACTGGGCCCAAATGACTGAACCAAAAGTAATTTAGCCAAGTGACAGCTTTGTTGGCACGTTGATTTGGGTAGAAAATTAATAGTGTCCCTTAATCACAATTTTGCCTGCATTATGTTTTGACTTTCTCTAATTCACTTTTGGCCTTTCACCTCCTAGGGATCCCAGCTATAGGAATTTATTGATAGCAAAGCAAATGTTTAACCATGGGATTTTAGGTGTTAAAATCTACATATTCAATCATAGATTAATTATAACTAGGATCCCTCATGGTGTAGTGCAGCGGTTCTCAACCTGTGGGTCACGACCCCTTTGGGGGTGTCGAACAACCCTTTCACAGAGGTCGCCCGATTCATAACAGTAGCAAAATGACAGTTATGAAGTAGCAACGAAAATAAGTTTATTGTTGGGGTCAACACAACATGAGGAACTGTATTGAAGGGTCACAGCATTAGGAAGGTTGAGAGTCACTGATGTAGTGGGTTATGCATTGGCCTGTTAACCACTAGGTCATCAGTTCAAAACCATCAGCTGCTCTTCAGAAGAAAGATGAGGCTTTCTACTCATCTAAAGGGTTACTGCCTTGGAAACCCATAGGGGCAGCTCTGCCCTGTCTTATAGGATCAATTGCTGTGAGTTGGCATTGACTCAATGGCAGAGAGCTTAATTATAACTAGGGTGCAGTGTGGTTCAGAGGTAGAACTCTCACCTTTCATATAGGCGACCTGGGTTTAATGTCTGGCCAATGCACCTCACCAATAGCCACCATCTGTCTTATCAGTGGAGGCATGTTTGTTGCTATGACACTGCATGGGTTTCCATGATACTTCCAGTCAAAGGTGGGCTAGGAAGAAAGGCTTGGTGGCCTACTTTTGAAAATCAGCCAATGAAAACCCAAGTGGGTCACAATAGCCTGATGCCATTGTGCATGGGATTGCCAGGAATTTCAAACTCTACAGCAAAAAGTAACAACTATACTATTTTCATTCAAATTCACTCTCAAATGAATCCTTACAACCAGATTAAAGCCACAGTCAGGCCAGTCGGGAAGATCAGATCTAAAGAAGCACATGAACGTCAGCACTGGAAGTCAGATGTTCACACAAAATATACAGACTGGGTCAATGAAGAGAAACAAGATCCAAACAAGATCCCACTACATCAGTGATTCTCCACCTTCCTAATGCTGTGACCCTTCAACCTTCCTAATGCTGTGACCCTTCAATACAGTTCCTCATGTTGTGTTGACCCCAACGATAAACTTATTTTCGTTGCTACTTCATAACTGTCATTTTGCTACTGTTATGAATCGGGCGACCTCTGTGAAAGGGTTGTTCAACCCCCAAAGGGGTCGTGACCCACAGGTTGAGAACCGCTGCACTACACCATGAGGGATCCTAGTTATAATTAATCTATGATTGAATATGTAGATTTTAACTCAACTGCCCTTCAGTTTTTAAAGATAAAGGCTGACATTCGAGGTGGTGCTTCAAATGTGTGGGGATGAGATGGCATGTTTAGAAGGTTATCGATTTAGATTTTGAGGTGGGAATCAGAAGTGAGAATTAAGAGTTACAGTTGGACAGTAAGAGTTACAGTTGGGCAGTAACTAAGCAGTTGGTTTAAAAGAAAGGGTGACAGCAAAAAACTGGGGAATAGAAGGTGAGGTGGGAGTTGTTTAAGAGCTAACATAAACGGAATAATTTTGAAATCTGGAGATGTAATTCCTGAATTAGGATGCAACCTGAACTTAGAGATTTAGCTTTCTGGTAGAAGCTCATTTTGTTGTGTTTTGCTGTAACAGTTTTATTAGCACTTCCTCCACGCAGCATATGATTCAATAGTTCAATCATATGAAGACGAGTTGTACAATCATCACCACAATCAATTTTAGAACATTTTTCTTCTTCCTGTGCTCGTTGTTATTTGTATAATTTTTTTTTCAACTGTGGCAAAAATACACACATCAAAACTTTCCCCCACTCAGCAACTTCTACGTGTAGAATTCAGTGACACTGATCACACTCCTCGGGTTGTACTCATTTTGTTTTGCCATGAGCTTCTAATGACAGAACATTTCTCCAACTGTGTCTGTGATTTAAATATAGATGTGCACGTGTGTGTGAATAGTTTTCAGTGAAAATTGACACAACCCGATGTTATGTTTCTGTAAAGCGGAGAGTCAAGTAACCTCTGGAGCGATTCTATCCTGCAGCACATGGGCTGACATTCAACAGGCCAGCCCAAGACAATGACAAACTGGTTAGCGTTGACTTAGAATGTGCATCACCCTTATGCCCTTGACGGCTCACGTTGTCTCTCTTTTGCTTCCAGATGGCTGGGCTCTCAGGAGTCACAGATTTTCACCAGGAAGTCTACCCTGATGGATGAGACCAAGGAAGGAGGAGAGGAATCTCTTATACAAATAACCCGGAACAGCCCAAGCTCTTTCCCCAGGACTGGAGCGTTACCGTGCCGCACTCCTATGCAATACAGCGTAACTTTTCCACGAGTCGGTTTAGTTTCCCTGCCCCTGAAAGTCACACAGGGAGCCGGCAGTCGTTCAGGGCAGTGTAAATACGGGTGTTTGATTGCTTCTAGTCTTTCTTACTGAGTTCTGAGAATTCAGGCTCTTTACAAAGGCTTCCCTTGAAATGCTTGGGTGCATTCTTAAAGAGGATTGTGCATTGTTTCAGTTGAGGAAATATAATAAAGATACTTTTATCTTCTGATCTTCTCTTTGGTTTTGGTAGATTTTTTTTTTTTTAACTTTCCTTCAACATTCTCTGCATGCTCCAGTGGTTGGAAATTCCCACAGCCCGTGTGGTCCTCCAGTGGGGGCAACCTGGGGACCCTGGGGCTGTGATTTGCTCCGATGATAAACCTTGGAAGCAGACAACTTGCTAGAGGCGTTTTTTTCCTCAGGACTTTGAGTCTAGACAATAGCTCTAGGCAAATTGCCTAGGCAAAGACCAGTAACTCTGAACTTGCCTTTAAACATGGAGTGGGCCAGGAGATGGAGGAATGAGGCTTGGGTTGTAGGAGCTCCTTAGGGGCTCATTTATAAGACACCGTACTGAGCAGCCGCAGGGCAGACTTGAGTCTCCTCACCACAGAGCAGTGGTT